AGGATAATTGCAACCCGCCTGCCTTCTATAGAAGAACTATATACTGTGAGGGTCAAAAGGAGGGCAGAGAGGATATCTGCAGACTTGGCAGTCCTACAGAGCTAGAGCAATTCCCTGGGCCCAACGTTGGTTAGGAGAGAAAACTGATAAAAATCAAGCCAGAATCCTCCTCTCTCTGGTACACAGATGATTCCAATGGTAGTATCATTAGCTGCAATCTTTTGATATGCAATTGTAATATGCTATACCGGTGTTTCTCAACCTTAGCAAGATGTGTGGACTTCAACCCCCAGAATTCTCCAGCCAGCAGGATTCTGGGAGTTGACATCCACACATCTTTAAGTACACTGGCTGAGGAATTCTGGGAGTTGAAGCCCACACATCTTAAAGCACGCTGGCTGGGAGATTCTGGGGGTTGAAGTCCACACACCTTTAAGCACACTGGCTGGGGGATTCTGGGAGTTGAAGTCCACATAGCTTAAAGTCACCAAGGTTGAGAAACATTGTACTATACCAGATCATCCTGGATATAATCTTTTCCAACTTCTTCCTTCAGGACGGCGCTATAGAGCTCCATATGTTAAAACATCTAGACTTCGGAATAGTTTTTTCCCTTGTGCCATTGCTCTGTTAAATCTGAAGACAAATTCCTTGTATATATTTTATACTTGGTCATTAAAGTATTTGTATTGTATTTGTATTTGTATTAATATTTCAGTAGACTATCTGAAAGTATTTAGTAAAGGATAACTTCTTAAGAAATCATGTATACTAATTACTTAATTCCTTAAGAACTTGTTCTATGGCTTTATAGTGTTCAGATTACCTTCCCAGATCTTCTGGGAAGAGATACGAAACCTGTATAGCTGAAGACAAATTCCTTGTATATATTTTATACTTGGTCATTAAAGTATTTGTATTGTATTTGTATTTGTATTAATATTTCAGTAGACTATCTGAAAGTATTTAGTAAAGGATAACTTCTTAAGAAATCATGTATACTAATTACTTAATTCCTTAAGAACTTGTTCTATGGCTTTATAGTGGTCAGATTACCTTCCCAGATCTTCTGGGAAGAGATACGAAACCTGTATAGTTATATGTCTGTACAAGTAATATGTTGAGGGTCAGATCTTGGTGGCAGGTAGTGCCAGAAAAAAGTGGAGAAAATATATTTTGTCTACCTATTTCTACTGTAACTCTACAATCTCCTCCTTTCTTCCAGACTCTTCCATTTCTCTTTCCTCCTCCCTACCCCCTCCATCTTCCCCAACAAGCTGCCTTCCAGGGAACAGACTGCTCTTGTCAGAAGTAATCACCTATTGAAGGTTTCCTGCCTTAGTTCATGCTGTTCATTTTTGCTATCCTCACTTTTTTTCCCCTTGCTAGAAATCAAAGCTGATAATTTGGAAAGGACATTTCTCCTTTCTTCTATCTCTCTACTTTGGAGCTCCCTCCATTTGCATGAAATAAGGCTACCTAAAATCAGGCTCTTAGGCTACAAATTACTTACCCTTTTAGTAGACATAGTTGGATAGATCAGGAACCTACAACAGACTCTCTTTCCCACATATTCTAATTTCCTCCCTAATAAATGTTTGTTTATTGATTTATATTAAGCAAATATATATGGCAACCCATCTTAATCTTAATCAAGAACTCTGGGCAGCTAGCCAAAAAACAACCAATCAAAAAGTGTAGTCAAGGCACCCTTAAAAATTATCTAAAGCATAAAAACCACAAACACGTACAGGGCCCCACTAACATCTCTATCCCAATAGCCAAATGTTCAGGGCTTTACAAAAGGCCTTCTGAATCTAAGGGGGAGGCTGTTTCATAGGACAAGTGCTCTGACAGAGAAGATCTTGCCAAGTGACATTGCTTCACAAAAGGGAGCCAGAGCATGCCCACCCTGCCAGATATAGTGGAATGAGCCAAAACTACTGGAGATGGGAGGAGCCCATGCCATGTAGGGCTTTAGAGGTCACAACCAGCACCTTGAATTGCCCACAAAAGCTCACATAGCAGTGGTGTTACATGGGCGTACATGGTGCACCCCAACTGCATGTCCTGCTGAATTCTTGACCAGGTGAAGCTTCCAAATGTTTTTCAAGGGTAGCCACATACAAGAGTGCATTGTAATAATCCACCTGGGAAGTATTTAAAGCATGAATGACTGAGTAGTAACTCCCGAACTAGGAATGGATGCAATTGGCACACAAGATGGATTTGTACAAAGGCTTCCTGGCTATGGCTGCCATCTACTTCTCAAGCAGGAGCCATGAGTCTGGGAGGACTCCCAGATTACATACCAACTCTAAATGGAGAAGTGTTACCCCAGCCAGAATTAATAGGGAAAGGCCTCAAGATCTAAGGGCCTCTAAAACCTGTAGCCATTCAGTCTTGGTAAAGTTGAGTTGAAGCATGTTCTTTCCCATCCAGACCCGCACAGCCTCCAGGCACTGGGAAAGAACCTTGGCAGCATTATTTGGATGGCTAGGGGCAGAGATATACAATACTGATGATACTTAATCCTATGTAAATGGATGACCTCTCCCAGAGGCTTCATGTAGATGTTAAATAGGAGCAGGGAGACAGTTGAGCCCTGTGGCATCCTGCAAAGCAGAGGCCTAGAGCTAGATCTCTCCCACCCTACCAAATTGAACTGGCCTTGGAAGAAGGAGGAGAACGACTAAAGAACTGTGCCCCATATCCAAACCTTTAGCAGGTCCTGAGTGCTGCCATGATTGATGGTATTGAAAGCTGCCGAAAGATCACGGAAAGCTAGAACAGATGTATTAGTCCCCGTCCTGAGCCCACTAGAGGTCATCTACAAG